TGTAACATAGAAACTAAGCCCAACAAATAGGGTATATGGTCTATCTATAAGACATAGTTAATTTTCTTATGTATAATAGGAGTAGATCTCAGCTTAAGTCTAAGTGGGTTTCAGACATAGCCAGTGATGTTTGAGCTGGTGGGATGGAATTGGCCAAAGTCTCTGCTTAGGGCTGAGGAGTTTCCTGAGAAAGAATGTATGTATGTATATATGTATGTATGTATGTATGTATGTATGTATGTAATTATTTAAATATGGGACACCCAGTTTTGTTTTGTTTTTAAGATTTTATTGGGGAATTGGGGAAGGAAACACTGTGTTTTTCCAGGACCCATCAGCTCCAAATCAAGCTGTTGTCCTTCAGTCTTAGTTGTGGAGGGTGCAGCTCAGCTCCAAGTCCAGCTGCCTCTTTCAGTCTAGTTGCAGGAAGGGCGCAGCCTACTATCCCATGCAGAAATTGAACAGGCAGCCTTGTTGTTAAGGGCACGCACTCTGACCAACTGAACCATTAGCAGCTTGGGGCTGCTCAGCTCAAGGTGTCATGTTCAATCTTAGTTGTGGGAGTGGGGGCAGTGCAGCCCACCATCCTATACGAGAGTCGAACCGGCAACCTTGTTAAGAGCACGTGCTCTCACCAGCTCAGCCATCTGGCTGCCTGTTGGCAGCTCAGCAGCAGCTCAGCTCAGGTGCAGCTCACTGGCCCATGTGGGAATCAAACTGGTGACCCCGTTGCTCAGGGCTCGTGCTATAACCAACTACACCACCCGGCTGGCCCCAGAAAAATAATTTATACTGAGGGAAGAATGGTCCAAGCACAGAAAGTCTGAGAAGATGATGAAACCTTAGTCATCTTAAGGGGGCAATTCTGAGAATATCATGGTGTCTTGTCTCCTTTCTAATGTATTTATTGTAGTAAAATACACATAACATAAAATTTACTGTCTTAACCATTTTAAGTGTATGGTTCAGTGATATCAATGCATTTATTATATTGCACAACCATCACTACCATCCATAACATTTTTCATCTTATAAAACAAACTGTCTACCTATTAAACAATAACTCCCTATTTCTCCCTCCCCCTAGCACTGTTCTATTTTTCTGTCTTTGTGATTTTTACTATCTCATATAAGTGGAATCATGCAGTACTTTTCTTATTGTGATTGGCTTATTTCACCTAACATAGCATACTCAAAGTTCATTCATATCGTAGCATACGAGTATGTCAGAATTTCTTTTTAAGGATGAATAACATTTTGAGATATATATCTATATATCTATATATGACATTTTGCTTATCCATTCATCCATTGATAGACACTGGGTTGTTTTTATGTTTCAGCTGTTGTGAATAATGTTGCTATGGACATGGGTCTACAGATATCCCTCATTGTCTCCCATTGTTGTCCCTGCTAGATTCATCCCAAGGAAATCAAGAGTGAGGTCCTAAATCAGAACTGAAAGAGGTGTTTCTCTAAAGTCCCTGTTAAACAGTGGAACCTGAGCAGTATTCATGGAGGGTAGCACAAAACAAAGAGACATTCACCCTCATTTCACCAAGGAACACGACAGTTTTGACACCACTGGGGTTTCAATAACTTGATGGAGGAGCTGGGAGAAGAGTGGGGGCACACAGAGGAGTGCGGTGATAGTGGCCCTGAGGAGACCTGGTAGCTGAGCAGGGAAAAGCAATTGCTGGTAGACCTTAGGGTGGGAGGCAGAAGAACCACACCTCCTTATGGGAGCAGACCTGTTCCCAATTACATGTGAGACACCTTTTAAGGATACAGGGCAGTTGTAAAGCATTTTGCAAGGGCTGAGGATTTTCATGACAGGTGGAAAGAGAAATAAGTGGAAAATGGAGTGTTATTAAGTGGTTCTGTTTCTACCCATAAACTCATGAGGCCTGGAGTAATTCAGGTTACCTTCTACACCTATGAAAAGTTTTTACTTTGCATAATGAGTTTCTTAAATATTAGCAAGTACATATTCTCAGAAAAATGTCCTTACGTTGTCCACCAGACCCAGCTTCTCCCTCTCCTTGTAGCATTCTCAGATAACTTCAATCCATTGTTTCCACTTGCTATGGAACGGCTCCCACTAGAGGTCAGCCACAGCTCCAGCCCATGATCACACTCCGTCTTGCATTATTCCCTGATTACTGCAGGATACATTTATCTTGTGCCTTCCATGAGACTGGGAGGCCCTTTACACAGGGACATATCTCTACCTTCTCATACTTATCCAGCTTGATGGGGCATATCATAGGTATTTAGTAATTACTTGCTGATTGCTTCCTTACTTTCCAGAATTAGCTTTCATATTATACTCAGAGTGGATGAAGAAGGAAACTGTAAGGTCTCAGTGGATTCCAGTGTCCTTGGAAATTGAGCCAATGGCCAGGTCCTAATTTTTTAAAAATAGTAATTCTGTTGAACTGAACTGAAGGTGGAACCTACTTGCTAATAGGATATCTCAGATGGGTTACTTGTGGATCCTCCCTGTATGGCCTAACCATTCTGATACCCAGATTCGTCTTCTGTATATTGGGGATAACTTACACCAAATATGCCTACCTGAGAGGCAGCATAGCACTGTGGGAGACCATAGAGGTCCAAATCCCTGCTCTACCAGTTTACAAACGATCTGGCTGGGAACTATTTCTGAACATTTCCATGCCATGTTTCTCCGTCTTTAAAATGGGAATGATAATCATGATGATGCTTTTCATAGGGCTGTATGATGACTGTATGAGTCAACTTATGTAAAACGTTTAGAATGGGACACATAAGTTATAGATTAGTATTAGCCAGTATTATTCTTACAGAAATTTTGATGAAAAGATGAATGTAAAGTACCCATAACAGCAATTGCCACTTAATATATGTTAGCTTCGATTTCCTCATGATGAGCAAGTAGATACTAATATAGACTTTTAAAATTATTAAAACAGCAGAGGAAAAAAAGCACTGTCATCCCACGGATGAGTTTGTCTACGCTGAGCNGGAGGAAGGGCAGTGATTGTGTCATTTGTATTGAAGTGTCAGTCTTTACCAGCTTGCAGTTTGATTAAGAGCAAGTGAGAGTTACTTCCATGGTGGAAGAGAATTCAGAAAGTAGAGAAATGCAGAAAATGCACTTCTTTCCTCTGCCTGTCCTCCTGTTCCTGTGTGTCCCCTGCCGTGTTCCTGTCTAACCAAAGTGCTTCCCTTATGGGCCAGTTCCCGTCCCTCTTTTCTGCTAAAGCACATTGCCCCAGCACTTCTTCCCTCCTCTTTCCTCACCAGTTGCTGCTCTCTGATTGATAATTCCTATCAGTATACATATGTGCTGTAAGTTTCCCGATGTTAAAAAAGACGAAATACCTTCTTTTGATGTCCATGTCCACATCTAGGTGCTATTTTATTTCTGTGTTCCCGGTAAAATTTTTTGAAATAGTTGTCTGTACCTGCCATCTCCAGTTCTTCCCATCAAATTCTCTCTTGACTCTACTCCAAAAAAGCACTCACTCTCACCACTACTTTAAAACTGTCATTGCCAAGACACAAAAGCCCCATATTGCTAAATGTAAAGTTCAGTTCTCAGACAATTTCTCATTTCCACTCCCTGTAAATGTTGGAGTGCCCAGGGCTCAAATCCAAGACAGCTTCTTCGGCAATCTCTTCCTGTGTCACAGGTTTAAATATCAACAATATGTTGATGATTCTGAAGTTTGCATAACCAGGCTGGATCTTTCTCCTGATCTCCATGTTCACAACATCCAACTCCCACTTGATGTCTCCTCTTGAATGGCCACAGACATTTCAGACTTAACATGATCAAATTACAAATTCCCGCTCTTCCCCCAGAATTCTGGGACCTCAGTCATCTGAGGGAGTCATCTCAGGAGGAGAACACCTGAGGTTAATATAGTTGTATATAAATAGTTCACATCCTTCCTATGCCCCATTTGTGAGTGTACACTGTTCTAAAATTTTCATTTCACAAAAGGGCAATACCAGACTTTTAGTTGTTGAGGTGGAAACCACCGGGGTCATTGCTGGCTTCTCCTTTTCACACCTCCCATTCAGTCTGTCTGGAATTCCTGTTGGCTCTTACTTTAATGGATATGCACAATCTGACTTCTCACCATGTGCACTGCTACCATTCAGATCTCAGCTTCTTGCTTTGATTATTGTAGTAGTCTCCTAACTGATCTCCCTGCTTCCTCCCTGCTCTCTCCTATAGTCTAATTTCAACATAGCTCAAGAGTGCTCTTGTCGAAACGGGTTTAGGTCCTGTTACTCCACTGGATGTCTCCTCATCCCACTTGGAGTAGCAGCCAGTGTTTCTGCACATTAGACCATCAGGTCTTACACAAGCTGCCCTCCCCACCTAACTTCTCTGATCTCCCCATGTTCATGCCTCTCCAGACATACTGACCTTTTGACTGGTTTTTGTGTATATCAGGCATACTCCCACCTCAGGCCTTTTGCAGTTGCTGTCCTCTGTGCCTGGAATGCTCCAATCCTCAGATACCTGTGCAGCCTTCACCCTCTTTTCAGGTCTTCTCTCAGATGTCTCCTTATCAGTTCTTCCCTGAGCATAGATTTTAAAACTGCAAATACCCTCCTAGCCAGCATTTACTATACCCCTCCCTATGCCACATGTATTAGTGTATATTGTTCAAAATGAATACATTATTCTAAACAAACCAGGACTTCTGCTATGTGTGTTGGCAGTGGAGGGGAAAACTCATGTGGTGCTAGAACTCCTAACGATGACTAAGAATTAGAGCATAATGAGCTTTCTGTAATAAGTATAGTCTTATTAGCTACCACTGATTGAGTGAGTACCTACTATGTGCAGGCATTGGGCTAGGCTCATTAAAACCCAGGACATTATTTATAAACACATGATTGAGNGTAAGCTCCAGAAGTACAGGACTTGCTTTGTCTGTTTTAACCTCTGCTGTATCCCAGGCCTAGAACAGTGCCTGGCAATTAGTAGATGCTCAATAAGGATTTGTGGCATGAATGAATGAATGAATGAATGAATGAATGAACAAACTTAATTTTCTTCCTTTGATTCAATCAAGAGCCTTTATTTTTGGTTTTGGAATCTAAAGTCATGTTGCTTTTTCCTGTGGCTTAGTAGTTTTCCTCTCCCCTCCATTCTCCCTTCTCATTTTCCCTGCAGTCCCTCTGTGTCACTAGGGAGGCAAGTGGCACATCTGCCTTCATTCATTTTACAGCAGGATAAAAGACTGGGTGGGCTCCCAGTAATTTTAAAAGGGCAGTGAGTCCCCTCTTTCCTCAGCCCTCCTACATTCTTTATATGTGTCCCTCACATGCTTGTGTGCTACCTGGATTTTGGCTCTTCTGTGACCATGTTGCACTCTCTGAATGCCCAGCTTGGTGATAGGGCCCGGCAAAGAGTCGGCCCTCAGCAAGTGTTTGCTGAAAAAAGAAAACATGAACATCTGATGCCACTCTTTGAGCATATGCATATATGACATTCTGCTCCCACAGGACAGCCTCTGCTGTGTGGTACCAAGCCTTCCTCACTGCTGAGACTCTCCCGGGGGAACCAATGCCCTGACCAAGTTCATGCTTGATGAGCATTTTCTCTCTCAACAATTTCTAGGCTGTTGCAGACTTTTCATGAGCTTTTTAATCTTGAAAATGGTTTATTTCCATTTTACCCCCTCAACAAATAACCGCCTGTCAGATGCTAGCTGTTAAGCCTAAATTATGGTATAACGGCTTCCAAAATATACCCACATCCTAATTCTTGGAACCCACGAATGCTGCCTTATGTGACAAAAGGGACTTTGTAGCTGTGGTTAACTTAGAGCTTGAGATGGGGAGACTGTCCTGGATTGTCCAGTGGGCCCAACATGATCACAATATTTCTTATAAGTGAGATGAAGGAGGGGACAGAGAAGAAAGTGATGTGATGACAGAAGCAGCAATTGGAGTGATGAACTTTGAAGATGGAAGAAGGGGCTACAAGCCAAGGAATGCAGGTGCCA